TCTCCTCTCATAATGACATATACACTAACCCGATAAAATTCATAAAAAATAAAATATAAGTACAAGGGTATACAAAATGAAACTACGCTTTAAAAATCCTCATGTGTCCTTATCGCATCTCTGGATCAACCCACATAAAGAACGCTAAAAGTCAAAAATCTGAAAGCTGGATGCACATATACCGAACCACGTCAAGAGGCATACGATCAAATGGAACATATTACTATAGTAGTACAAAGACAAATAAAGATAAAACAGTAAAGTAAATAAAATGCTACACAGAGTCAACACATTAAACCCTGGTTCATTAATTGTTTGCGCAGGCACTGATAACGTTTTACAAACTAGATCTGAGTATTAGCTGCAATCTCTGAAAATTGTATGAGTTCAGAAATGTAAACTTCATAGGCGGATGAAGTTGGTAAATCGCTGCTAAGGTGAGGAAATTGTATAATTTCAAAATTGAAATCATCTCGTTTGTCATAGACTCTGGTATTAAAAGATGGCCGCTGTAGTCAATTTCGGGGTATATGTTTTAAAATGATGCAGAGGAAGCTGTATATGTGGTGTCTATAAAATCTAGTTCATGGCTATAAATGAGACCAAATAAGAAAAGTTCGTATTGTTAATGGAAAGAACATCTTCAATACACCTGTGTGTAAAATTAGATGATAAAGCTTATTTGATCTAATATAAAATTAAGAAGATGTGGTATGATTTCCAATAAGACAACTCTGCACAAGAGACCAAATGACACAGAATTTAATAACTATAGATCATCGTACGGCCTTCAACAATGAGTAAAACCCATACAGCTATAAAAGGCCACGAAATGACATATGTAAAACAATTCAAACGAGAAAACTAACGGCCTGATTTATGTACAATGAACGAAAAACAAATATGATATACATGTACACCAACAAACGACAACCACTGAATTACAGACTCCTGAATTGGGACAGGCACCTACATAATGTGGCGGGGTTAAACTTGTTAGCTACCCTCTTTCTAACTTGGGACAGTGGTGAAACAGAAAAACAAATGAACAAACTATAAAATTCAGTTGAAAAGGGCTTAACTCATCAGATCGATACAAAACAAAAACAAGTAACAAGTTACCCTTTCGGAAACAAAAACGTTCACATTAAGATATTTCCGGGGGAAAACCACCAGACCCCCTATCGCTTCCCTCGTTTGTGGATGCATTACGCATTATGTATACACAATATTGACCTTTCGACCATTTACGCTGCTGTAGGTCTTATTATCTTGGATGCCTAGTTACGCGTCGCATTGCCTCATAAATGAAAACAGGTCTAAATATGGGTAAAAATATAAATATCACCAACAAAAATTAAAGCAATGATTTACGTCCTTAGAAAGTAATTACACACTTCAACCAATTACAAGTATTGCAATTGGTAAACAAATTCTGTTTTCTGATCATTAAGTCTGGTCACGCCTTGTCTTTCACGATCCAAATAATGCGTTTAATGATCTTTCACGATCAATTTTGATAAAAAACAACAAAAATAGACTTTTTCAAAAATATTATGAAGTTTTTCAAGTAATGATATAAATATATTTTACTGGACTATCTGACATATAAAGATTAAGTTTTAAATATATCGTGATATATTGGAATGTGACTATTATAGTTACAAAACGTGATTTTTTCTTAATGATTTTCATAGGATAGTGTGTCGCCTTTTGTGTTTCCTTAAAAAATACTGCATTATTTCATTTATTAAGTGCACAGTTTTATTAAGGAAATTGAATCATTTTGACAGACATAATTTTTTTTTCTAATTTGTTTCACCTTTTGAAACTACAGCAGATTGTTTCATAGATTTTGAAGTAGAAATACACTTAACTGCATTCACGATCCGATACCAGATCTTTCACGATCTGATCGCAATGCTTGACCACCGTTAGTTATTCTTTCACGATCAATTCTCTCGATAAACCGAATGGCTCCCGTGAAGTAGAGATTAATAAATGTAACAAATAAAAACTGAAGGAATCGCATGAACTCAAACAGAAGCGAGACAGGGTGCGTCCACAGAGAAAGCGTCTCCTACTATGCATGCATCATTCGCAATGCGAATCCGCACTCAGTCCTAATGTCACAATCGGGAATAGAAAGATAAAATTACTGATCAGACATTACTGGTGTCAACAGATCTAAGACATCGAAAACACGTCTCAACACGTTCTTCAAATTCTTAATGCATTCTCAACAATATTAAATCAGTCAAATATTGTTTGGACACATTCCAAACAGTCTTAAACCGGTCTCAAAAAGTCTGGATAGGTATATTCTTAACTTCCTAAAAAAAAGTAAGATTTTATCTGCAAGAGACTTTGAAAAGTTCATTTTGATATATCATGACCAATAAGCTAAACCCAATTAGCATTGCACAAATTATTTAAAACCGAAGGCAAATATAATACAAGCCCAAACGAAAAATATAAATAAGTCTAAATTGAAAACAACGTTCAAACCTATGATTGCGTTGGATAAAAACCGCATTTTTTATACGTGTGCATGCAAACCAAATTTCTTGGTAGAGGGGTCTAAATACAGCACAAACAACATTTTCCAAAAGACCAAAAAAGTGAAAAAGTATATTTTAACAAAACGCATTTGACTAGCAGGTCGAACAACGGATGTTCTTAAACCCTCCTGACTGCCATGGCGATTGCCAAATAAAAGGATCAACAGATGTAACAAAATGGATCTTAATTATTAATTTAATACCAAACAGAAAACAATAAACTTGCTGGAAAGATGGTTTACCGCAAACATGAGGTGCAAAAATTGGTACACCATAATCCGGATTTCGACAATAAATGTCTCTTCAGTGATGTTAGGAATCGAAACGGTATTTGGAAGGCCATATAATTTACCTCAATTTAGGATAGACTCTTGAATTTTGAAGAGTAGGATGAACGGATTGTATAAACCCGATGGTATATATAATACAAGCTCAAACGAAAAAATATAAACAAGTCTAAATTTAAAAAAAACAACGTTCAAACCTATGATTGCGTTGGATAAAAACGGCAATTTTTATACGTGTGCATGCAAAACAAATTTCTTGGTAGAGGGGTCTAAATACAGCACAAACAACATTTTCCAAAAGTCAAAAAAAGAGAAAAAGTATATTTTAACAAAACGCATTTGACTAGCAGGTCGAACAACGGATGTTCTTAAACCCTGCAGACTGCCCTGGCGATTGCCAAATAAACGGATCACCAGATGTAACAAAATGGATCTTAATTATAAATTATATATATATATATATATATAGTTCATAGAAGATCAACTTAACAATGTTAGAGTAAATCTGTTTATTTTATTCCTCCCCATCCTGGGCTGTAATCTATACTTTTCGGTCTAATTTCTACGGCAACACAGCATAGATGTAGCACTGCGCAGTCGCCTTTTCACCTCTCTAACTACCGCTTATATTCATATTATTATGTAAATAAAGTAAATGATACAACCACACCCCATTTATGTTTTTACCAAGAAAAGCTTTTTATAATGTGCTGGTTTGATGCATTTTATCTTCGATTGTTCGTGTTTTATTTTTTTTTAAGGAGTGTTTTTTTTTAATTGATTTGATCTGCTGTGCATTGGTCATTCCTGTTATCCTTTATCTATCATATATATTTATTGGCAGTTTAATTGATATTCATAATCTTAAATTTTAGTGATAGATATAATGATATGGTTTGCCGGGAAATACATCCGTTCATATGAAATGAAATGAATAGTGATTTGCAGGTTATCTTTTGTTGCTGTCCTCTCCTCACATTATACATCGTGATATATAATGTTGTAAAATATCCTTAGGAATGAGTGCATTTATTTGTACACAAAAAAAAAAAAAAAACAGTTCAAAATTATGGCCTTCGGACTGTATGTTACATGTGAAAGGGATTCAGTAGATACCAAAGGGATATTCTAACTCATACGTTTAAGAAAAAGTTACAACACCATGGCAAAAAAGAACGATCAAAAGACAAACAAAAGTATACAAAATACAACAATGGAAACTAAAGACCGTTTAAAGCAATAGTTTAAAAGGTCGGGTCAGTCTAATATTGTTTTGGTCAGGAACTCTGAAATGTAGACATCGTAACAGACATGAATTGGAACAAATAACGAATGTGTTCTCTATATTGAGATATCAAAGAACGGTAATACAGTTGAATTCCGTAATGTTCATTTTGTTTGTATTTTCTATAAATGGGTCGATACCACTGTGGATGGACTCCTAGTCCCCGAGGGTAACATCATCCTTGTAGTCAATAATTTGGTACTAGCATGATTTAAAAAACATTTTATGAAAACTTCCCCGTTGATAATTCAAAAAATTGTTCAGACAACTAAGGTTCAAACTCATTCAGTCAAGTCGACTTTCATTTTTTGAGAAAAAAAAGATGTTCATAATTAAGGTCTATCGTTTGACTTGATACCGTCTTATGACGCAATGTGTACGTTTCAGAAATTATCTTCATCGCGTTTTCCGGTGTAAACCGTTAAAATTATCAACAAATATAAAAAAGAGCAAAATTGGAAACGCTTAACCTCTTTCCCGTCAACTTTGACACAAATTGTTACATTTTTAGTACACTTGCCCTATTTCTACATTGACAATTTTGGTGTTCCTTTTCAAAAACATATCAGCATCTTAAAATTGATTACAGCTGTTAAGGGTATTTACGAATATCAGCTTGTATGGTTACTTTGCCGACATATGGTTTAATTGTACAAAAATAAGGTTCATGCCGACGTCATATGTGCACGTCGGCTATGTTTTGAATGTGTTGATTAGATATTATTACCCAGTTGTTTCATAGTAATGTTGTTATAATGTTGTAATATTCTCTGACAATGTGATCACTCATGGAGCATATGGAAACGAAAAAAGGCGTGTTCAATCAATGTGAAAAAAATGAAGAAAAACCCTGTATTTTTCTTTCAGCAAAACAGATATTGTCCTTCTGATACTCTTTTTGAAACTGTGCATATATTTAACTCAATAGCTGAAGCTAGGTCACACTGGAAATCGGTGGAATATATTGTGATCAATGTCCTTGATGGTTCTACATTCCAATCAATTTTTGAATGCTGTATATTTGGAGAAAACATGTTTAGAGTGCATCAATCAGAGGCTGTTGTCGAAGACAAATTTCAGTACAGATCGATGAAGCCTGAACTAATAGCTAAGAAATATAAGTGCTCAATAAAGAACATTAAATTCAAGCCAGTACATATTGGACTGGTGGAAAATGGAAACTCTTGTGATCCATGTCTTACAGTGACGTCTGTCATATATCCTGTAGTCATGGTACATGGTATAGGTGTATGTGCAAAAATTGCTTTTAATTATCTCAACCCTTTGTATCTTATTGAATGGTTTGAATACCAGATAATGATGGAAGTAGATACAGTTGTTGTTATGTTACAATACATAAATGACGAAGCATTTGAAGTGTTTAAGTACTACAAACAAAAAGGTTTATTAAAAATATTGCCGTATCCAATAGAACTACCAGGAAAAACAGGTAATATAATGTATACTTTTGTCTATATTAAAGGGACAAGATTTACCCTTGAATGTATGTATTGACATTATGAAAACAATATTTTATCATAGCATATGATTGTTTTGATAGTGATTAAATTGTCCATATGAAAAATGATATCAAATATTCTTTATATTTAAATCCCATAGGATTTGTTGGTACTCTATGCTTATGCTTTCACATGCATCAAAGATGCATGACAAGTTTCATGTGCTTTCTAATAATTATATGTCTTTAAAGAGAAAACAAGTATTTTTTTATTTGGACCATCTGAACTTAATAAAGGTGAGCGTTCAGTACAAAAATAAATATAGTAAAATGAATTATATTTAGAGATTAACACACTGCCGATGCACACGGTCTCGTTTAGTTTTGGAATTCATGCCATTCCTTTAGTATTTCTTTTTTACCTTGAATTTTATCTTCTAAAATATTTCGGAGAATTGAACGTCTGTTTCTCTAATTTAAGGAAAACGTTTATCAATGGAATTATAACTGATGGCAACAAATTCAGAACAATATGCATTCAAACAATGTCAATATGCATAAACACGAGGTAATGGTCTTTGCAATATGTTTAACTAAATGACTGCAATCGCAATAGCATCGAATATGAATAGAACAACTCGTGATAGAAAGTAAACAATATAATTCTCTCAGATCTATAACAGTAACATTTAGCGGATAATTGAAAGAAGGAACTAAACATATTGTGCAGTATATATTTATGTGAAAAATTCAGATACATTAATAACATGCAATATTCAAATCAAACGAACCACGATAGAACTTCAAATTTCGGATTCAAACAATTTACAGTCAGTATACCATATATATGTTATCCAAACACTATTTCTATCATCATTTATAATTGATTCAAATGTACTTAACGTTTGTTTCTTTCAATTTCCTCAGAAAATAAGTATTGTGTTCTTTTGTTTTTTGTAACCCACGTTCAGAAAAAAGTAGAAGCATGGTCTCAACAGAACCATTGTTCTAAACAAAATAACATATTAACATTACGCTTGGTCCCAGTTAATATCTGAATACATTAGAAACAGTCGATGTTGTCGAGTATAATATTCGTCTGGTAATTGATATCACATGTCCATAGAGACGCTTAAAAATGTATGATGGCTCATTTTCAAATAAGTCAGTGACTGTTTTAAATAAGATAAACGTTTCGTAAATAGAAAGTGTTGTTTTCCTTAAGGAACTTGATGTTTTCATATATCTTACTGATTCTTACTTTTTTAACACATGAAGATCAAAATGGATAATTCAACAAGATTGAATACCATATTTGAGCAAGTGTTAGCAATATTAAATTTTAAGCCTGACTATAGTACATATAGGTATGCCTATCGTGAAAGGAGAAGGTATTATAAAGCTCCGTTTTAGACCCATGTATTAGAAAATCAAAATCTATTATTATTCTACAAAATAAAATCAGGAAGATGGTCATAAAACGTAATTTTATCTTTCATATTTTCGTTAGGTTTCAACCTATTTGAATTTAATGAAAAACTGCAAAAAAAACTGCCATTTTCGAGATTTTGTAAATACTTTTTGGAAATGAACTAAGGCATTACGCGTTTAGATACTTTCTTGCTAGATGTATCTTACACAGTAAAATATCTGAGTAATATCTTTTCGTGATAGGGACTTATATTGTTAAAAACTTTGTGTTAAAATGTTATAACATCACAAGTGACATTTCTTCACTTTAGTGTCCAGATTATATCAACTTGTTAATTTATTAATAAATTTCACATTATTTTGAAAAAGGTTCAATACAATATAGGTTTATAAATTTGGCAACTTAAGGGGTATGATAATTGTTCTTATCATTTCTCCTCCTTCACTTATATGTTTAAGATGCGTCAGATTTAGAGATATCGTTTTTTTTTGTTGAAACCTGTTTACTGTTTTGTGCTGCCTTCTATTATAATGTTTTATATGTTTTGTCGTAGTGATATATCAAACATCTCCTTACATTCATACACATTTTGTTATACAGATGTTACATTAATTTCAGATCGTGGATTTGAATCAACAAATTGGCACTTTGATCAAAGTGTTCATGATGAACAGGTTGCGGTTTACACATGTCAGGGATATTTTCAAGGATATGAATTAGTTGCAATCATCGATTTCGACGAATTCATTGTGCAGGATGAATTATTATCATACAAAACCATGCTAAAGGTATGTGAATTATCTTTAAAAGAGGTAAAATTAGTGTTTAATTCACACAATGTCGTCAAATAATGTCACAGTTAAGAATAACAAAATAATCAAATGCTGCTCAGTAGGTACTTTTTAAACGGCAAACTTTTATAAAGCAAAATCTTGATAGAAAAATGTGTTCCATGATATCGAATGAACAAGGACATATGTTGCTTTATAAAATTGGAGAGAGGAAAGAGTAAGCAGATCCTGCACTACATGTGGGAATTTTGCAACTGATCATCATTTCAATTACATGAAACTGTAATTTAAAACTTCATAATTACATTTTATTATACCATTGACATACCAAACTGTTCCATTATAGTAGAAAGTCTTTGCTGAAATTCTCACAAATCATCCATCGTACGGAGGTACCTCACAGTATATGTGAATATGGTTTGGTGTTTTTTTGAAATAAAACGGTTAATAAATGTATTTTACCGAAGTTTATGATGTGCATATATATTGCTTTTTTAGTTTTAAAACACAAGAAACACAAAATCTCAAAAATCGATTAAGAAAATACAAATCAAGGTAACAACCAATATTTAGGGTATTGAAGACGCTCCAAAAGGAGCCAAACCGGATCTCTCGACAGGGTATACGTCTCCTAATAGAGGTTTCCCGATTTGCTACGTATCAGGTATGGTTGGTACGTAACTGAACGGTTAGTGCTGTTTTGGAGGTATCATTTAATGCATGAGATTATTTTATTCATCATGATAAAATTAAAAGAATTAAAATGCATATCAGCAAAACACTAGCTTAACGTTTTATTTGATAACGATTTCAACGTTTCTATAACACTCTGTTTATGATTCTTTATAAGATTATTTAGTTGTGCACAAGTGCATGAATCAAACAGACCATAAACGAACTGAGTTGACACGGCCTTTAGATTCTAAATATAGACTTGCGTTTCTGTTTGTTATAGGTATTGTTTTTGTTTCGTTTATTTATAGTAAAAAAAGATATTTTTCTATGTACAAACAGAATTTGGAATAATTAAAATAATAACTATGAACTACTTTCTAAAACACGTGTTACTGGTTGTTTATATTCGTTAACTTAACGTGTTAAAATTGTGTTGATTTCATATTATAATTAGTTCTTGCATGATTTTAAAACTAGTTATTGTTATTTAAGTAATCTATTTCGATCATTACAACAGAAGATTTTTTCTTAAGAGGACGAGAAAGCTGAGATTTCATATTGAGTGATCATTCTAAAAAAGTAAACTGAAAAAACTATTGAAAAATAAGTATTCTCTATTCTATTGCCGATGAAAAAAAAAACACCAATGTCTTGAATCATTGAATTTAAAAGACTAGTATAATTGTCATATAATTATAGTAAATTGTACTGACACTTGTGTTCTTTGAATAGTTTATCAGCGTATCTTTATATGACCCTTTCTTCGTACTTTTAACTCTGATCGAAATTCTCATACGTGTGTATGACGATTTATGCGAAAATGCAGAAAAATAAAAAAAATGTATAGATAATGAATTTGAACTACTAAAATTACTTACAATATTAAATTTTATTAAAGTATGCTAAGAATTGATACTGATTATTTAATAACAAAAAGTTTGTTGATCACCGATATGACATAAGTTTAAATGTATAACTAAAGACTTGCTCAGTCGGGTTTATTATTTCATACTTTAAGTTGACTTGCACACGAGCTTTTTAATGTAGGTTACATGAATTGCGGAATAGGTTTTGTATTTATCTTCATCATTAATACATTTTCAATGAGGTCAATTTTGTATGTTAAAATGTCTTAACCAATTCATTCTATACTGTCATATCAATATAACAGGCGAACATTAGATGACATATGAATGTGCTTTATATTTAACTTCATTTTGCCTGTGCAATTTCAGGGGAAATAAATCTTAATTATAAACCGTTCGTGCAACGGTTACTTGCAACGGTTGGTTGAAAGCATAATCGAGTACACACAATATCGTTTGTTATGAATAGGAACATATCCACTTGAAATTTATACCAAGTTGTAGCTAAAAACCCTCCAAATACTTTTGGTAATGATTCATAAACCATTCGTTGACATTAAGGGCATATATGAATTATTTTCAAAAGTTCAATGACGGCTCCCAGTTCGTACTACGGTTGGTACGGTAGCAAATCGGGAAACCTCTAGTATGCACAAGACGGATGGGTAAACTCAATGTATGGAGAGACAGTAAACAACGTCTATTTCGTTTGACTGTGTAATCTTAACTCCAATAAATAACGTATTACATAGCAATAAAACAACGTTAACAAAAGATATATTGACTTTAACAATGGTAAATGTAGCGTTAACGTTTGCAGTAAATAAGATTTTCTCTAAATCATCGACATACTCCGAGCAACCAGATGCAATGTTCATCAGCCTTGATGTATCGTGGCATACGGAATAGACTAAAATAGAATTAACTCACAAATAAGAAAAAAATGTGAAATGTGAAATTAATGTTAACACTTGTTGAATTTAACACTCTTTTCACACATAAGAACAATTAATTAGTCTGTTAAGTTTCTCCTTTCACTTCGTCTCAGTCCATGCTGTTTACATCTATTAGGTAGAGTTTCGTCACAGATCTATTTGTTACTCCTGATTTGGTTCGCACCATAGCAACGAGCACTTCAACCGTCCTTGTCCAGGACAACTCCAAGTGTCCAATGTACACGTTTCGATGCGACTTTTATCTGAACGACATCGGCTTCTTTAATCTTCCGAATGTCGACTCCCCACTCTAGCGATATTCTCAAAATGAAGTTAGGTATACTCCTTTCCATCGTGTGACAGCGCTTGTAAATAGGCAAATGCAAGCTTTCAATTTCTCGTTGTGTCGGTTCCTTATCGTTATCGCTCATGAGAAGTCTACACCGGTGATGCTCAAGGGTGTCGCATCTTGAACTCTCATTTTCGGTAATCGTGGAATTTCTGTGCGGGAAAAGATTTTCCGATTATTTATTCGGCATGTTACACATCTTGTTTATATAGATTTCACACACTGTCTTAATTTCGGAATCCAAAACGTGTGTAATATGTACACTAGAGTAACATTGATTAGTGTAAACATATTTTATTGTTCAAAATGACAAATGGATCAGACACAAGTTTTACAACTTAGTAACGTCTTCTCCAAAACAACAAAAAATATACACATTAATTAATGAACACATGAAATATTTCATACTAACAAATAATTTAAGAATAAAGACATGAAAACAAAAGGAAACTTGTTAAAGCGAATCAACGGATTTTAGTCGAGTGCATCTTTTTACAGTATAAATAAAACACGAACACACCGAATTGTTTGTGTGGAATTACCTATGCGCAAATCCTTTTTTGTGTAAACATAACTTTATAAGTGTGTGTGTGTTTCTCATAATAATGCGTGGGATCTTAATATATTATGCAAATTTAAGGAAAGGATGTCAACTACACAATGGTAAGTATAGATTTGAAACTTAATCTATATTCTTTCGTTAAAATCCATTTAATCGTTATTGATAACATAACATAGCAGTAGTTATTCATCAAGATCATTCGATAATTGCCATTACATGTATATAAAAATATCTTTAATCACATGTGTTGTAAACAGAATCAAGGTTGTCAAAGCTGAGAAAAACGCTTGGTATTTTTTATATACTTTTGAACAGATAAACCAATATTATCATTTTCTTCAGTACTTAAAGCATCATCACCAAATAATAATAAATCGATAGTAATATTGACATTAAAGACATTAATTTCGTTTTACATCTGATTTCTCTGAGTTGAAAAATCAATACAATATAGTAGATAGTGTTCAACAATTTCATTGATAAAACCACATGAACAATTGCCATTTTGTATCAAATTTGCTTTGAACAAGTCAGCATGCAGTGCGCTACATCTGTAACGCAGCCTTGTGTGTAAAACTGAATACAAACGATCTCCTAAAGAACCATATCTCAGAGATTTATTATTTCTATAGACTAAGTATAGTTTATGCAAATTTAATTTAAAAAAGGAAAATGTAGGAATCTGTCTAATACTTAAGTCTAAAGTATTCCACAATGCATTAGATGACGGAAAATAAGACTGTTGATAAACTGATAAACGATTTACGGGAATAGTAATATTTTGACTGTTACGCATATTATAATTACTAATATCTGATACAAAATCTGGAACCAACTCGTGTAAATAATCTTGCGCTTGATTATTAATAATCTTATAAAACATAGATAATTTTTTAACCTCCCGTCTGACGCTTAATTTTTCCCATCCTGTCTCTAAATAGATACTGTTCAGAATTTACTTGTCCACAGTTACCCCATACTTCTGATGAATACTCCAAAATTGGCCGAATAAAAGTCATATAAATTTTTTCCAAATATTCCCTCTTAAGTCTAAATTTTAGTTTTCGTAAAACATTAAGCTGCTTCGAAGTTTTTTCTATCAGCTTATCAACATGCTTACTCCATTTACAATCACTACTAAATATTACACCAAGATGTTTATGCGTATGAACTGGCTCTAATATTACGCCATCAAAATCAAAAGAAAAATTACTTTGTATAGTTTTCATACTGAATATCATAATATCTGTTTTATTTGGGTTAAACTTCACCAGCCATCTTTTTGACCACGCACTTAAATAAACTAGATCTGTGCTGATTAAATTTCTTAAAATGGATTCATTAGGAGCAGTATGACCTAATGAAGTGTCATCTGCAAAAAGCCTCCCAAATCCAGAAAAACCATCAGCTATATCATTAATATATATCAAAAACAATAACGGTCCTAGTACCGAACCCGAGGCACACCGGCGTTAAATTTTCCAAATTTGGAAAGTGAATCTTTTAAGACAACTTTCTGAGATCGGCTACACAGGTAGCTTTTTAATTAACACAGCAAATCTCCTTTTATACCATATTTTTCAAGTTTGTATAGTAAAGCCTTAATCCAA